GCAGCTCACACTAACCAGACCAACCGGACCAACAGACCTGCACTTAAACCGACCACCAACACCCCCAGCTCCCCCCCAGATCAATCAGATGATCGAGGTTTTCATCCGACGGCGGCAGACACTACAGTACCCATGAGCCTCGGCTGCCTCGGTCGCCACGGCGAAGAAAGAGCGAGGCTGAGCTGCAACCGAAGCTTTTAGGAACAAAACACGACGCTGAATTCATCCAAAACTCAAGTTATTAAAGCTGCTGAGTGTCTCTGTGATTGGACGTTAGGGACTGAAATGCACCATGGGAGTCGTAGTTGGCCTCAAGCTAATCACTGCAGATGTTCCTGAACACAGGCGAGGTTGTTTGGGGTTATTGTTTTGTCGTGTGGCATCACATGCACATGGCTTTGTGTCACCTTCCGGTGTTTTACGTCTTTCTGCGATCCTTCACATCACATTGTAGTCAAGCTGTTTCACACCTGGCACAGTTTCTTTGGCCGCTGTACGACTGCGATGCGGCTTTAATCTGTTTTTAAACGTGAAATCCGAGACTTCAGCGGATGTTAGAGCTGAAGGAGGCCCTCACCTGTCCAGGCTCAGCGAGGATCGGGGGATTCCCGTGTAGAACAGAGGCCTCAGGTCTTTGATCAGAGCATCTCCTGCTGGCTTCTGGTTCCACCTCTGAGCCAACCGGGAGATTTTACTGTCCGACCTGAAACACAGACAGAGAGGCTGCTGAGAAACCGAGAACCCAGAAACCTGCCGACGGTTTAAAAGGCAGGTTATCCAGTCTGAAACTCCAAAGACTGACAAGAGCTCCAACTTCCTGTCAGGATAATGAACCAAACCTGAGTTTAAAATCCAGATATTTCATGAAAATCACTTCACTCTACAGGTCCACCTGAAAATTCACCAAAAATAAACCTTCTGCACCAGTTTCTGTTAAAAACATCTACAAATGTCACCTCCCCAAAAACCATCAAACTCCCATCAGGACGATGCATTCACTGTGTTAGAGGTTCCTCAGAGAGACCAAGATGGTGGAACATCTTCCTACATCTGATGGTGGAACATCTTTCTACATCTGATGGTGGAACATCTTCCTACATCTGATGGTGGAACATCTTTCTACATCTGATGGAGGAACATCTTTCTACTGATGATGAGCAGAGCAGAGAGGAAACATCTGGAGACATGGAGATGGTTCAACATCTGCAGGACGAGGAGACCACATGAGCTCCAGGGTTTAACATCTGGAAAACATGGTGATTCCAGGATTTTTAAGTTTTGTAAAAATGAGGTAAAGCGACGACAAAAAAAGACGTGAAACAAGTAAATTCAACATTAAAGGGTTAAAATATGAGACCAGACGAGCTGCACGATGACAACACAGGAAAACACACACAAAGCCACTAAATGTGAAATAAAAGGAGAACAATGTGACACAAAACGAGGTAACAACTGAAATGTGATGCAACGAGGCCGACGTGACACAAAACGACCACAACGACAGGAGATGACCACAGAGAGAGGATGCAAAATAAATAATAGAAGAAATGCAACTTCTTCCTCCTTCTGCTGGTTCTGGTCCTGCTGACAGCAGACGTCTCTGAGTTCTGTCTCCTCCTCCTTCATGTTCTGGTTCCTCAGAGCTGCAGGACTTCATGAGGAAACATGAACTTCAGTGAAGGACCAGGAGACACGACTGTTGTGGCTTCAGACTGGAAGCATGAAGAAACGATCCTTCCAGAGGAATCGACCGAACGAGGAGAAGATGGAGAGAAAGTTCCAGAAAACGCTGCTCTGCTGTGAAACCTGTTGCTGAGACGCCGGTTTGTTCACCTGAAGGATGGAGAGACGCAGCTTGACGCTGAGCTGCAGCAGAATTCACCAGGAGACGGAACTCAGACACTTGTTGGATCAGAACTGAGCCGCTGAAGTTGCCTCGGAGCTCTGAAAGTGCAGCAAAAGCTTTGTGAAGCTACTCACTGGAGGGAGAAGAGGCTGATCAGCAGCACATCTGCCCCAGGCTGCCGGGCTCCTCCGCTGGGCTCAACCTCTCCGACTGAAGCCTCCTTCCTGCCTCCGGCTCTCCGCGGCTCTGGACCATCTCTGGGGGGAGACGCGCTCCGGCTGCCCCCGGCTGGGTGCTCGATCCTGGGCTAGCGGCTGGAGGCGCGCTCCCTGCCGCGGAGCTGCGATCGGGCTGCAGACACCTGTTCACCGGCGACGCATCGGCACGCAAACACACACTGACACACACACACACACACACACACACACACACAGCGGCTGTGGCGGCAGCGCTGTGGTGAATAACGAGTGTGTGAGCAGAGTGTGTGTCAGTGATCGGCTGTGGTTCTGATGGAGGAGGGGCAGCAGAACCAAGGGGGAGGCGGGGGGAGGCGGATTCAGTTCAGCGGTTCTGCAGCGAGAAATTAAAACCAGAAAAAAGGCAATAAAACGTAGTGAAGCGCAGGAGGCTGCAGGAGGAGACGCCGGCTCAGGTTTCACTCATCTGCTGCAGGTTTTCCACATTAACGCGGATCCGGATCCAAACAGGATCCAGGACCCTGATGCTGACCGTGTTGGTGTTCAGGCTTCCTGCAGCTGAACTTCTGTGTGAATGTTTCACATCAGCTTCTGGCTGCTGCTGGCGTTCAGGAGCGTCTGTGTCACGATTCACTGTTTGGTTTCAACTCAACGAATGAAAGAACAATAAAAAATAAAAATTAAATTAAAAAACGACAGAATCTCCGACAAATGTGAAGAAGCTCATCGTCGTTTAAAACAACAGAACTTTTCAGTCAATCAATAAAACCAGCATCACAAATGTACTGAATGTGAATCAAACCGTAAAATAACAAACATGTTGTGGACTAAACACCATAAATACTCCACAGTGTTATTTATTAAAATATAGATATTAAGACAAAGAAAAGTAGAAACAAAACGAGCTGAACTCTTTAAATATGACGCAGATTCTAGGAATGCACCTAAAATATAAAGAAGATGACTGAGACCATGAAACAGTAAATGTGACATAAATCCAGCTGAAACGTTTAAATCTGAACATATGGACTAATAAGGATCATTATTACATCAGTGTTCTCAGTAAGGCCACATGAACAGTGTTACTGATCTATTTACTGGCTTCATTCAAATGTCAGAAATGATCCTTTATTACACAAAAGATTCAAATAATAAGATTAAAATCCTACAATAATAAATACCACATGAATTCACCTCAATAAACACACACATCTATATTTGAACTGTACTGGATGAAACAGATGTAAATGTGACATGTTGCTGTTGTTGTAAATATTAATATTAGGATTTACATTATTATTATTCGTTATAATATTCATTAAGTCCCAACTATATTACTAATTATGTACATGTCTTCATGTTCATTATATAGATTTAATTATACAATTAAAGTATTTAAATCCACTCCTACAATATTATTAATTATGTAAATTTACTGGTTTAGTTTAAATGTGAAGGTTTAGACTCTACACTACTGTTCAGTGAGTAAATGAATGTAAATGATAAAAATGATGATAAAATAATTAGAATTAAGAGAATGTAACATTATTTATTACATAAATGTACCAGGATGATTTAAATCTGAAAGTTAAGACCCTTTATGCTTAAATACAGATTCACCAAAGATCCAAAATCATCAGTTGACAGTAAAACAACCACAGAGATCAGAGACCAGAGATCTGAAATCAGTGATCAGAGATCAGAGATCAGAGATCAGAGACCAGAGATCTGAAATCAGAGATCTGAGACCAGAGACCAGAGACCAGAGACCAGAGATCAGAGACCAGAGACCAGAGACGGGAGCGACCTGACCGCCTCATGCTGTCGGACCTGAACCTTCAGGGTGGACCCGACCCAAAGAGACGCTGATTGATTATTTGCTGATCAGAAACTGAAGGTTCTGCAGGTTCCACGGGAACAACAAACACATCGTCTATCTGAAGACAAACTTCTGATTCCTATGTTTTTGTTTCTTCTCCTCCTCGTCTGTGCTCTTCTGGACTTTTCTGCTCAGACTGTATTCTGCAGAATCCACGTTTCTGCTTGAATCCATAAACATCTAATGAAAGGTCTCCGGTGGATGGAGGAGAACACACATTACATCAGACCAGTGCTACGTGTCGTATCTATTTCACCAGCGTGGTGTCGTCAGTGTGACGGTTTTTACTTTCTGTTTTCTCTTTTAACATTTCTGGTGATATTTTAATTTGCACTGATTTGCATTTATAGTCATAATCTATAAATATTCATATAAATCTGTGCGTTTGTCCAGTTTGAGTGATTCATCAGAACAGACGAGTCCGAAACGAGGAAACTTCTAGTTTAGTTCTAAACCAGGAGCAGTTTCACTTTCTCTGCTTTAAATCCATTAACGAATGTAGTCCAAACTAATGAAAGGCTCCAGAACCAGAGAGAGGAACCAGCCTGTGTGTGTTTCTGAAGCCTTTGTGCTGTTATCTGCTGCAGCAGCTGCTTCGCTCCACATTCAGCTCAGAGTCACAACCAGGCTGTAAATAATGCGTCTGGTCCGGATGCTGGCGCTGGTCGCACTGTAATTATTTTCATTTTCTGCTGCAAACCGTCCTGAAGCCGACTGAAGAGCAACAAGTCTGCAGGAAACTGATGGTGAAGCTGAACATCAGAGAAACGTTCAACAGAGAACATGAGTTTGATCTTTACTCGTGGTGGTGAGTTCACACCACGTACAGCAGATCTGTTAAAACACAGGCTGGATCAGTAAACTCTCATCGATCATGTCTACCATTAATTCTGCAGGTATTGATCATAAAAAGTCCCGTTTATCACCAAAGAACAGAACAAACCTGTTAGAATTAGTTTTAAAAAGAGGAAACGACTCCGTTATCTGAGCTGAAATGTAAGTAAAGTCACCACAAACTCAGGAACACACCAGTAGATATCTGATAATGGCTTTGTTCTTGGGTAAATACTTTATCTCACAGCCCTGAGACAGACTGGTTACCTGTCCAGGTGAACCTGCCTTCACCCAGCTGGGATAGGCTCCGCCCCCGACACCCTGGTGAGGATGAAGGTGAAGAGATGATGGATGGATTTAATGTATTATTAAAGCTATTTTGCACATTTCTAAATGACTTGTTGTTAAGCTGCACTGAAGAAGAAGCTGGTGTGTGTTTGGGAGCTGATGTTTGTGATGTTTTCTGTTTTATCGACCTGCAGGAGGACACCTCTTGGTTTCAGGTGATTAAACCGACGTTCTCCGAGTGATTCATTCGCACAGATTTAATGACGACCATCCTGGTTCCTCTCAGCTGGAGGTTCTGCAGGAGACGGACCTCCATCAGAACTAAAAATAGCAGCTGCTGTTTGAACCCTGTGATCCCACCAGGCTGCTGCCTCTGGCGGCTTCACCTCCACTTCCCTCTAACTGGACATGATCAGACCAGCTGGACGCGCTGCACTTATAGAGACCTGCTTCATGCCATGGGACGGTACCGGCAGGTTGCATCGTCATATTCTGATGGGTTTTTGGCCTTTTTGACAGTGAAGAGAGAGGCAGGCCAGTGGGGAGGAGAACGGGGGAAGGACCTGCAGCAAAGGGCCATGAGCGGGATTTGAACCCACGGCCACTCGCTGCATCGGGGACTACAGCCCTGTACCCGGGTCACCAGCTCAACCAGGTGA